TATTAAATGCCTGGTGGCAAATGCTTAGTAATAAATACAACTTTATATGCCTTTTTTTTCCAATCTACATTTTAATTCATTACAAAATTCTGAAGAATTTAAGTTGCAAAAAATTTATTTTTAGTTCTGTTTAAAGGAAAATAAAAATGCAGAATCACGAGGAGTTTGATGTAACTGCAAATGAGAGGGAAGGTCAGTTTCCACACAAAAGGCTTTTGCAGTTCTAGATTGATAGTTAACGTGTACAAATTGTGCCTGGGTTAAAGTAATGGAAAGGTAATATATAATAAAGCTTCGTCAGTCAATTTAATAATAAAATAGGCAGCAGGTAAAAAACCCAACAAACCCAAGACATCAAAGAACAACAACAATAACAAAAATAAAAAAAACCTCAACCCAAAACAACAACAAAAACCTACAGCCACATCTTTGATGCCAACCATAGCGGTTCCCTTCCTATTTAATTGCTCTTGGCGTGTGGGGTTCAATCAGTGGTTTGCATGAACTGGATTTGGGAGTAAAGGTGGGGATACAGGAACCACGTTCACGGTGAATGTGATTTTATCACAGTGAAGTAGAAGGATATGTGTGGTCAGACAGACCCGATATCATTTAGTTGAGAGAAAGGTAATTTGTTATACTGTAGATTTGACTACCTGTGATCTGATGATATTCCTAAAGGACAGAACTGGGCGAGCCTGTGCCATTTAAGCTTCATTGAGGCTGTGCACTGGCGATAGCTCCATCGTTACTGCTGTGCATCCCTGTGTATCTCCCGTGCAGTTGTGCAAGGGCTCAAGTCCTGTGGAAATAGTGAAGTGGTGATTCTGCAAAATAACATAAATGTTGCATACATATTGGAATTAAGTACTGAAGAGCACGGTTTGTATAATGGGATGAAGATCTCTGGAATACATTTGTTTTACTTTGCAGCATCATTAAGCGATCAGTTCTGCTTCTGTTGAAGACTGGAGAGCAGCAGCTGACTCGCGCATTAGTTGTGGAAGCTGTTGGAGTTGCTTTTAATGGGAATGCATTTTATAATTTTTAAGTGCATTGTTGAATAATTACAACTTTGAACATGTCTGCCTAAGCCATGCTTACGTATGATTTGTTAAAATATCTTACTTTGAGGTCCTATTAGATTACTGCAAAGGGAGGAGAAAAAAAATCTTGTGGGCTAACATGCAAAAGTGTCACTGTTCTGCCAGAAAAATTGCATCTTTGCCAAGCAAAATAAATCTGTTTTGAAAGGAATGTTGAAGGATAGAAGAAGATTTTTTAGAATAGCTAACTCTTCATTATTGCAAATGAACCTTGAGTTATGAACAAGTGTGTTTGAACTCATTAAGATCCTGTCTGTTATTCCTGGAATTACTGTGGTCCTGGATCTCGCCCCAAGTACCCCCCTGTAATTAGGAAGTAGCTTAAACCTTCACGGAGGGACAAGCTCCTTCAGTGTTACTGTGCAATAATGGAGTAACTCGGTTACACAGAGTACCTGAAGTGCTGCAGGTTCATACCTCGCTTACTTCAATATAATTCATCCACCGTTCCTCAAAAAAATCCTGAGGCCATTCTGGGTATTGTGTCTTACCTTGGTTCAACAATATTTCAAAGCATCTTGTATCTTTCTGCAATTAGAGCATTTTGTCATGGGAGAAAACACTTCTCTTTGATTCTGCCATGAGTTATTTTCAAGACTATTTACAGGTTAATTAACTTCTTTACACATTGGTTACTTAGTCTGTAAAATGTACTATTAGTTCATAAACACTGTGGAGGTGGTCAGATAGTATCATAGTGTCATTACTACTGTCATTCATCTGAGGTTTAGTTTTGTTCTGCCTCACCCTGCTCTGTCTTTGCAAATGCCGCAGGTGGAGCTTCTGGGAGAAGCTGGGAGTCTGTGCAACTTCTGTGTTGTAAAGTCTCATTAATTATTCTCATAAAGCAAGAGCCAAAGCCTAAACATTTGGAACTTTTTTGTAAGATTGTAAAACAACAACAGAGGTAACTTCAGCATGTCTAGCGCAGCTGTTTCTGTTCCTTGAGTTTAAGTGGCCCTCTCTTAAGAAGTAATACAGGATTGAATGTTTAGGTAGGTTTCATTGCAAAACTGAAGATAAATTTGCGTGTGAAGAAGTTTTACATCTTTGTCTATAAACCTGTGTTGAGATTCTTTCCAAAGAGAGGAATCTTCTTCATTCTTATGGAAATCATTCTGAAAACACATATCCTACAGCAGTGCTATTCATCCTTCAGGTATTGATATCTAGCTTTTGGAAAAGATGTAGGCTGGATTAGTTTGTACTGTATGGTTTAATGAATAGTGTATTCTTTTAGTTTTCTTTACTGAGAAACAGGAAATATGTGCCATTACTTTGTTGTGGTGTTGTTGACTATAATACCATCATGCTTGTATTTATTGAATGTAAATCAGGAGTGAGCTGTTTAAATTTATATTGTAGCATGTGGTGTAAGCAGTTGCAGAAACAAGGATAAGGAATGTTAATTTCTGAAGCTGCAATAAAGTGTTGAAGAAGATAGTTCTGTAGGATTGATCTCCAGGTGAATTCTTCCACTGATTTTATTCATGAAATCCCTTCCTAATGCCAGGTAATGTGATCGGTAATCTAGAACAGAAACAAGTGGCTGCTCATTGTACTTGCTTTATATTGCAAATATATCTGTTCACGTTATCTGAAAGGATCACAATTAAAACAAGCTTCATAAGTGAATATTACCTTTAAAAAGTGACAAATAATATTGTGTGTTTATAATGGTGAACTATACTTGAAATGTGGACTATCCTCTTAGTTATTTGTACAAGCAATAGTTTCTGCTGGTCAGGACCTTGAATGTGTTAAGTGACCACTTGTGGGAGTGCTGTGGGGGTTTCCATCAGCTGGAAAGGGAAGAAGACAGGGTGGAGCATCTTGCACCCCTAGCACATCTCCAATACCATAGGCTGAGAAGGATGAGGTGGGCTGCCAGTCTCGTGTGCTCATCACCTCTTCTCTTTGATCCATATATACCATAAAATGAAATTTTTGTTTCTCTGCTCTCTACTTGTTCTCTGTTATTTTTAAAAAAAAAAAAAAAAAAGGAAAGATGACAGTACATACGACTGCTCAGAGTATAGGCACTGTATTTCAGATTTCATCCATAGATGGAATGTGTGGCTTGCAATTTTCTGTTTACTTAGAGATATCCAAGTAGTCAGATGCCCTCTAGTTAGTTATGTAGTTGTGGGCAGCTTCCGTTAATGCCCGTGTTTGTCCCCGAAGCAACTCTGAGTAGCTTCTTTCTCTTCAACAATATGCTCTGTACATATATAAAGTAGCTTCTTAAATATTTTTTTAATTGCTTTTGCTAGTTATAATCTGGACACTACTGGGAGCATAATTTTCAGTTTATCAGGAATAAATTCAAGAAGCTATGTTAATTTAATTTTCTTAACATTTTTCAAAATGTTCAAGTGATTTTTAACTCTGGACCGTGTGGTCTTTATGCAAGTGTTAATTCCTAGGCTTATCTTGTTTTAAATAATTTGCTACACATATTTTAGGAATATAATTTGATGTCTACATATGAAGAACAAATTTACAGTTTTCTGGACACTTTGAAAATCTATTGTTGAAGGTTAGGCTGAAGTGGCTAGAGTCTCATTAAAAATATATATATATGTATATACACATACATTGTTTGAATTGTGCATTACTGTTGCATATCTTCCTTATAAAGCATTATGCCATTTCTAATTTTATGATTTGCAACTTTTCTTAGCTGCCAAGGAGCTGTTTGAGAAAGTCTTTAGGAAAGAGGCTGTAAATATGTCATTACAAAACAAATCACAGGCTCTCACCCCCTCAAGGCTTCAGCTGAAAGGAGCAGGCACTTTTAAGATGGTTCTTTGTAAAATAAATTCATCTGTAACAGTTAAATATAACAACTTTGATTACTTGGAGATTAGAAAAAGTGCTTTCTTTTTTAATCTCCCTATTACATGAGCCACTTAAACAGTTTCAGAAAAAGAAGAACATGCTACTGAAGATTTTGCTTTTTATGGTAAGTACTATAGTGGCAGAAGCTGAAGCTACAACCAAATATGCTCTGAAGCTTAAAAAGCAGAGTCTCTACAATGTAAGCACAAGAGATATGGCCTTTAGGTAGAATTGTAAGAGTCATTTCTCCTCTACGTAGTGGATACGGACAGTTATATATATTGCTCAGCTGCTTTGTAGAGGAATAAAAACTGAGACACAGAAGTTGGCTTAAACTGTATTGATTTTTTTTTTTTTTTTTCTGGATGTTTCTGTAATTCAGATGTACCTACAAACCTCAGATAAATACAAGGCAGGATAAAGGCCTGGATATTGTAATATAAGCAGTAAATGTGCTATTGCCAGATTTTTCCACAAGAGGAAGATGCGATTATTGTAATGTTTACTACAGAAGATACCAAGAATGAAATAAAAATGTTCCCTTGTGTTTAAAAGACCAACTTTTCTTATTTGATTTTTACTTTCTTTTTTTTTTTTACACTGCTTGTACTTCATTCATAGGCTTTCAATCCATCCTTAGTTTTATGTACAAGATTCTACTGTAAAGCGAGGAGTTGTGGATCTCCAGGTGCTTAGCACACTCAGTACGAGAGTGCTTCTAAAAATAAATTGTTTACTTCAGTTCTGCCTCTGAATACTTAGAGCCATCGCTTGCTTGGTTTTTCCTTACAACTCCTGCTGCCTGTCTGAAAACAGAGGAAAAATAAGTTATTTCACATTTTCATCATACACAATTTGAACAGAATACTTCTATTTAAAGGTGGTGGTTTATTACTTTTGAGAATTAAGTTGTCAATCAGATACCTGACTATTTCTTTTGTGAGGACATCAGGTAACAAAAAAAGCACAACTACTGTATTTCTTTGATACAAAAATGTAACAGTCTGTATTTCTTCATTAGAAAAATTGCTAATTCTCTTAATTTTATTTCAGCTTTACTTTTGGAAGCTCAGTCAACGCCGTTTCAAATAACTCCTTCAACCATGGCAAATATTGTGAAAGGCCTGTATACACTACGACCAGGTAAAAAAGAAAAATGTTTCTAGAAGTCTCTCATGCTGTGGTTGTGATATGTTTTCCTAAATACGCATGCGGTCGCAGTCTTTCGCACTTTTAACAAACAAATGTGTGTTGTGTTCTGTTCATCATAATGCTTAGTTCTACTGTGCAAAGGCCCTGGTTCTTCTTGTTGCCTGTCTCTGTGACCTGCACAAGGTACCATGTGAATGCTGAATTAACTTTAAAAAAACAACCCAACCCTCTACTCTGGAGTCAAAGGGAAGTTCTATTTCTTTTGCTTTGTAGAAATAAAGAAAGAAGGCTGTTCAATGACTCAGTCATGGCAGAAGTTTAGAAGTATTAAAATGGTGAAAGTTATATTGTGAGTCACACTTCAGATGGCTAGATCTTTGATATGAGATGAATGACTGTTTCTTCTATGAAGCTGTTATTTGATTGGCATTATTTCACAGAGAGCTTAATTTAACTCATGAGTACATCACGACATCTTGTGCAATAACAATTATATTGAGAGGAAAATGGTGTTGCAGATTTTAATCAATTTTGTACCCCAGTCTTTGGTTCTGTGAGTTTTGGAGAACTGAGTAGAGCTCTAGCCTGTGTTTGAAAAGACTTTAGAAACAGGAAGTATTCAAAATATCCATAAATAAATGGTACTTGTTTCCCTTCCTTTTACAATGCTGATACTTTCTTCTTACCTTGGTGTGACTGAGAGAAGGATGGGCTCTGAGCTTCAGTCTATTTTTAGTTTGTAATCCCTGTTTATAGAAATAGAAATGAGGATGGGAAAGCTTTACAAAAAGCTTTAGTGCAATGTTTAGCATGTATAGAAACCAGGAATGTGGTGGACCCTCCATTTACAAAATGCATGGATAAAGCACTTTCAGTAAGCAAGGATTATTTTTATCACAGCAAAATTAACATCCTACCATCATTTTTAAGGCAATACTAATTTCATTTTTATAAACTGTTCAGAACCAAAGAACAGAAGGGTGTATGCGTAAGTATAAAAGTATAATTCTTTTGAAAGCAGCTCAGTGTGGTTTTCTTGTGCTGCACTTAATATTGTAGGTGATGTACTTGTGATTTCCCAGCTTTCCATTTCAACTAATGCTGTCTACTTCACAACACAACAGATACTGGTTTGGCTTGGTATCATGGGCCTAATCAGATTTTGAATAATTGTCTGTAAGATATTTAAGTATAAAAATTGTTCCTGCAATTTGTGATATCTGCTTTCCACAGCTGGGTAGGAAGACCCAAGTGATTGACGTTAATCTGTTGCTTAAACAGATACACATTTGCTCTAATTACCTGCTCCTCAAACTTCTCAGCCTCTGAGAAAATGAAAAACTTCAATGTCACTCCAACCAGAAGAACGACCTCTGAGAAAATGAGGAACTTCAATGTCACTCCAACCAGAAGAACGTAGGATAGACTTCTTGATGCAAAAGGCTGTTCTCTGGTGGTGCTGGTTCTTGAGGATGAATTCTGAAACAATCAGGGCAAGAGTTCCTCTGAGGTAGTGCTTCTCACTTATTCTGTGGGACATGCTCCATTGGATGTATCAGGGACTGGCGAGCAGACAACTGGGGAAGTAAAGCAGAAAATGTGACCAGTGGGAGGTGCTGGGGGATTAGAACAGCACTGGGAGGTGTCTGTTCAGGCAGTGGAGAGAGCAAAAGGAGATGCATTGCTGATGTGTTGGTGGCCGTGGCCTTTCTCTTCTCTTTCTCTTCTTCTATTTTCTCTTCAAGTTGAAAGTATTTGACAGCTGTTAGACGTACAGGACAACCAGGTGATCAGGCCCAGTCAATGTGGGTTTATGAAAGGCAGGTCCTGCTTGACTAACCTGATCTCTATGACAAGGTGACCCACCTAGTGGATGAGGGAAAGGCTGTGGATGTGGTCTACCTAGACTTTAGTAAGGCCTTTGACACCGTTTCCCACGACACTCTCCTGGAGAAACTGGCTGCTTGTGGCTTGGGTGGGCGTACTCTTTGCTGGGTAAAAAGCTGGCTGGATGGCTGGGCCCAAAGAATGGTGGTGAATGGAGTTAAATCCAGTTGGTGGCCGGTCACCAGTGGTGTTCCCCAGGGCTTGGTATTGGGGCCAGTTCTGTTTAGTATCTGGATGAGATCAATGATCTGGACGAGGGGATCGAGT